ATATTTTTGGTCCTGAACGCGTTAACTGCCCTGTTTCCTGCGGGCCGCGTTGGGGAGCTGGCGGGCGCGGCTCTGCCCCCCGCCGCTCCGCGAGCTCCCTGCGTGCCCGGCCGCCAGATAAAGCGCCTGGATGTATTAATTTGTTTTTTCCTTTGCGTTCTGCGAACAAATCCCGCTAGAACTCCAACGGCGGGCACAAGAGGCCGTCCTGATTATTTTTTCGTGTTTTCTCCTCCACGAGGGCGTCGTGAGAGCAAAAAGCCCCACCACGAGGGCACTTTTTCCCCCTCATTGAGTGTTTTTAGTTGTGGTTTGTTTGGGGTCCCCGCGCAGCCCGTGCGGCGGGGGCGACGTCCATCCTCTGCGGGGGAGCGCGCTCCGCCGGGTCACGCCCTTCTTTTTCTTCCTTTCCTTTTTTTTTTGCTGCTTCTTTTGTGCGGCGGCGGTAGGCTGCCGTGAAGGTGCGGCAAGCCGTTTCCGCGCATGCGCGGGGCGACGGCGGCGGCGTATAGTTCCTGCTGTCGCTGCTGCATTCCGCCCCGTTGATTTACAGCGCCTCGAGGCGGGCGTGCGCCGCGACGCACCGCAGGGCTGGGCGGCCGCTGCTTTTTGCGGAGTGGGCCAACGCCGCTGTCGCAGTCGGGAGCGGTGGCCGCCTGTTGCGGGCCGCGTCGCGCGCTGGTGGGCGGCGCCGGGCTCCCTGCGCTTGCCGTTGCCGGGGGCTTCCTCCGCGCGCGACGCGGCTTCGCGGGAAGACCTCGGCGTCGCGGCAGTGCTGTCCGACGAGTCCTCCGTGGACGCCGGCACGGGCGGGGGCTATTGCGGGCGTGGCTCCGCTCGGTGCTCCCGCTTGGCGGCGGGTTGTGGCGTTGCGCGTCTCTTCGCGTGCGGGGAGCGGGCGGGAGGTGCCGAACTGTTTGGGCGGCCGCGCGGCCCCGCCTCGCGCCTTTCCGGGCCGGCCACGCCTCCGTTCCGAGGGGGGCGCGCCGAGTTCTCGCGCGGCGGCGGTTTTTTTTTTTTTGTTGCGATTTGCGGCGCTCCGTTTTCCGAAGAAAGGCGGGGGGCGAGTCGTCTTCCGGGCCCCCGTCGTGGGGCGGGGGCCGCCCCGCCGCCGCGCGCATCCAAAAAGGACAAGGGGGCAGAAGCGACAGCGGGGAAGATTTTCAGTCTCTAGTTTTTTCTGTATTTCATTTTTCGGTGTGGGTGGGGGGCTTAGGGCGCCGGCCCCGCAGGCGCGGCCCGCCGCAAACTCGCCGGCCCCGGCAAAAGAGGAGCGCCCCCCCCCCCCGCCCCCCCGCCGTGCCGGACCGCAGGCCCGCGGGTTTCAAAAGGGGGGAGGGGTCGCGAAACCGATTTCGCGCGCAGTGCCCGCGGCACGAAAGGCAGCGCCGCCCCCGCGGTGCGCGCTGCGTTGTGTCGCTCTCCTCTTTGTTTTGGCGCGCCGCGCCTCACCGCGGCTCTGCGGGCGAAATCGCCGTCGTGCCGTGAGGAACCGTTGGGCGGGCGAGGGCCGCGCGGCGCCAGCGGGGGAACGGAGAGGCGGCCTTGTTGAGAAGCCTTGCGGGACTCTCGGCGCGAAGGCGATAAAACAGCAGGAGCGGCGCGAGGTGGTGGCAAAGCGGGCGGCGCCGCGTCTGCGCACCTCTTTTTACAACCCCCTAAAATAGTTGGAAATAGTTGGAGCCAAATGTGAGTCGAACCTTTGAGACCAGTTGAAGCGCTCAAACCACTGAAGCAGAAAGAAAGGAGGGCCGACTCACTTTATTCATTCGGAGGCGAGGTTATCCGTTTTTCAAATTCAAACAAAATGCGGTGTACTCCAGAGCGTAGGTCGGACGCCCAAAGTGGCGCGCCAGGCAGCCGGCCAATTCGAAATATTGTCTTCGGCAAACCTCGCCGGCGTCCGTTGCCGCGCCCCCTTTTTTTTTCTTTGGGGGGAGTGAAATGTGTGTGACCAACGACGGGTGAAGATGATTTGGGTTTTGTTGAATGTTGTTTTCGCGTTGTGTTCTTGCTTTGATGCCGGTTTTTTTTGTTGCTACACGTTCTGACGCGCCTTTTTTTCTTCCTCTTTTTTTTTCTTTAGAAGGTGGCAATGAAACTTCTGTGTAGTGCCGTGTTGTACACTCTCATAACCCTCGCGCTTCTTGGGGCACACGCAGAACGGCCGGTTTCATATCCTGTTCGATGGGACAGTGCCGCGTCGACCCCGCCGGGCCCGCGCAATCTGGCCTCTCCCTACCTCGGCGAGTGCATGTGCGACGCGACCTGGGGCGCGTGCGACCCCAACTGTTGCTGCGACACCGATTGTACGCTGAGGGAGAGGAAGATGTTTTCATTTTGCCTGCAGGAGACCGTCGGATCCTCTCCCATTGAGTACTGTTCTGCGCGGAGGCAAGAGACGACGGCGGTTCAGGTTTCCCGGCGGTACCTTGACAGAGTTCATAGAGGAAGTAGAGCGGTTTGCATCGTTAGGGCCAACGATATAAAGGAATTAAATCCATTTTTTCTTCTTCCGAAGACAGTATCAAAACCCCGCGATAAGGCAGCCGATGATTGGGTTGGACCGAGACAATCCAACGGGTATGTGGTGAATGGCGATTTATTGTTGATGAAAAACATAAATGTTGGTAAAGTGCCGTATGAAATGAGAAGTATGGGATTGCTTCGGATTACATCGGGAAGCCAGGATGGATCCTGCACGGCAGAGGGAAGACGTGTACGGTTTATGAACCCCATAGACTCTACGGCTTGCGTACTCGCCGGTGCAAAGGCTTGTGCGCTTTTTCCAACAAACAGTTACGCAAATTTGTTCTTGGCGAGTCCGGGAGATTTGGCTTCGCGGAGCTTCACGCCCATGCAGCTACAGATTTTTAGCGCCACCTCTGGTAACTTGCTTGCCCAGGTTGATGCAACTTCAGGCATGCCTGACCTTTACAACTCCGTTATTCACGGAAAGGATTGCAAAAACGGTCTTGTGCGAGCTCAGACGCTTTTGATGTATAATTCAACGGAAACTGGGCTTTCCTTGACAAGCGCAACCACAAAGTTATACATTCGCGATATAGATAAAGAAGCCATCGTCCCCGTGCTTTTTCAGGTGGAATTTTCTCGCCTTGGTGGGACAACGCCAGGCAGCTATTTTTCAGGTACTCCGGGCTATTCCGAAGGCGCGCGTCTGCGAGCTGGCACGCTTTTGGAAGAGAATGGTAAATCCGCAATTTCCGAAAGAGTTTCTGGATTTTCCATCCCCAGCGGCGACAGGTCTTGCTACGAGAACAAGTATCGTAGTGTGGGTTTTCTGTATGATGTGCTAAGCAGTGGCTGTAGAATTTCTATTTCTGAGTTGGAATTGCGCAGAATTTGTGCAGGAGGAGGGACGAGCGAACTGCTTCAAAAGATTCTTAGCATAAATGTGAGTCCCTCCTCTGGCTTTGTTGGAGAAACAAAACCAATTGCCTATGTGGCTCGCACGAATGATGCGCTGGTGAATGACACCACAGGCTGGGTAGAAATCGATGGGATGAATTTCAGCGACGCGACACCTGCCGCGTACGACGCCGTGAATCGGCGCTGCAGCAACATTTACGTCGGGCTCCACTACAAGTTTGTTGTGTCTAGGGTCGGGGCCAGCTTCAACCCGCAGAACGTCATTGTGGCCGCGTTTGCCGATCCCATTATTGGTAGCTGGCGAATACGGAACACGACAGACTTCAGTGAGGCCGCCGTTTCCGTTCAGCGGTTTCGTTTTTTGGTCTCCTTTAGCTGGGCCCATGCGGAGGTGCGGAAAACGCGTCAGCAGCGGGTTATTGCGCCCCCGATTTTGCCCCGCTTGGATGATGCGGTTTTCTACCCCTTTGGGCCCCCTTAGATGGCCGCCAAGCAAGACGGAAGGTGCGCTTGTCTTCCTATTTGCGGCTTT